TTCCCAGTTTGCTGGGCACATCATTGCTTGACAAGGTCTGTCAGCTCCCAGCTTTTGGGCAGAAGAAGCGCTCAGGGATTTGATAAGCCAGCGATGCATCTCTTCACGGTACCAGCTGTGCTGTTGCACCATGCTGCCCAATGCAGAGGATCAAAACAACACACACCTGCCTACAGCTGCACTGCATCCTTCTCACCACTGTAAAACTGCCCCCCTGCCTCTCTTAAATCCCCACCTGGAGGGAGCCAGTCCTGGGTGCAAATCATAACCAGCTGCCCTGCGTCCCATCAGCAGGAGCAGCTTGCTCCAACCCCAGCAGCAGGGACTATCATGCACGTGCCATGGGATTTCCCACTGCGGAAACTCACTCCCGGTGGAAGGCGAGGAGAAAAGTCTGGTGTGCCGGGGATTGTCCTCACCCTGCCGGGGTGGTTGTGCTGAGCCCTGGTCTCCCCTGCCACACACAGGCTCCTGCTCCTGTCTCTCACCAAAACCCACCTGTGTTACCTCTTCTCTGCCTCAATTTCGCTCTAGCTCCTGCCTAGCTGAGTTTCTCATGGCTGAAATCAGGAAATGTGCTGGTTCCTGTGCCTGCTCTCAGTGGATGTGAACACGCCAGGATAATTATTGGCATGTCGGATCTGAGAAAAATTATATTTTAATTGTGTAATTACAGCAATTTAAAAGCTCCCAGGCCTTAAACACCTCTGCTTGCTGGCAGCTGACAAACTATGAGTCTTTCATGGGGATTAGCATACCTTGCACAAAATACTTAGCAACTTAAAATGATGGGACTTTAAATGTGTTCTTTGCATTTGCAAATCATGTTGGCCACTGGAAAGATATTTAATAGCAATGCCCTCCTCCCCAAATAACCTTGCTCAAAAAAGGAGCCCGTAGCTGGTCTGCACCATCGGCTTCCCTGGGCACCCCAGCAGGCAAGCCTCATGTTTACAGGGTAGGAGAGGACTTGCAAAGAGCCTGAGGAACTCTGGTCATTTCACTGCAGGGCAATACTTATTTTAGCATTCCTCAGGGAATAAGGTGATCAATCCCCTCCTCCCCTGAGTAAGGGCTGAAGGGCTCTGTGCTCGTATCAGGCTCCCAGTACAAAAAACAACACTCAGCTCAGGCCGTATCCTGCACCCAGTAACGATGGGGAACAAAGGGGGGATGCCACAGCAAAGCAGAGGAGCTTTGCCAGAAAGCATTGGTCCTTACAAAGTGGGTTTGGCTATGGGATCGCATTCCTAGACTATAGTCACCCAGGCAGCCTTCAGAGCTTGCACCCTCCTCATCTCCCTGCAGGCACAGAGCTCAGTTCTGGGGTGCCAGTGCAGCACTGAGTCAGCTGGGATCAGTCTTGGGCTAGCAGAATTTATCACAATGCTGTGGCCTCCAAAGGAGCTCTTTCCAGCTGTGATTTGCACTGCCTGAGCCTGTTTCTCACCGTAAGCAGCTGCAGCCTACCTCTCCCTGCAAAGTCTCCCAGCTACGGATCTGGCCGTGGAGTCGGCTGAGCTCAGAGTGCCCGTAAACCCTCGCTGTCCTTGCAGAAGGCCATGCCTAGGCCCCTCGGAGATGGACCTCAGGACACCTCCTCTGCTGGTGTCAGTCGCAAGGCTGCAACGAGCTAAGATAGAACGGGTGAAGGGAACTGGGGATGATGCTGCATGAGGGCCTTACAGGGAAGGGTGCACCTCCTGAAGCGTGGGGCACAGGCTGAAGACTTCCTGCAGGCTACTGTACCTGAGGCACCCTTCAGTGTCCTCTGAAGAGCCTCCCGCTTGAAAGGCATGGGGAGGGGTGAGAAGGGTGGGAAGGAAATTTGGGCTTGAGCCCAGTTTTGTTAGCCACTGTCAAGCATAGAGCACAGGCTTGCACCATACCCATCAGTACGGGCCTGGCTCTGCAGCTCCTGAGTCAGGAGCTCTGCCTTGCACAGGACTGGCTTTCTTGGAGAAGAGGGTGCTCTGAGCACCTACCCTGAACTGGCCGCCGTTCCCGTCATCAAGCTCCAGGATATAGCCTTCCACCTGCACCGTTGACAATGGGGGCTGCTTCCAGGACAAGGTGGCACTGTTGTTGTGGGTGCAACACTCTTCTAGCTGCAGGATTGGGGGTGCCGGCACTGGAGAGGAAACTAAACACAAATTAGTGTAACCCTGGCTGCTAGAATTACAGAGCAGAAGCGGGGAGATTGCAGCTATGGGCATGTTTCTTGTGGAGCATGGAGGATGTGCTTAGTGCCTCAGTGCCAAGCCAACGCTGCACAAGGGATGTAACCGTGATCTCATGAGTGTGAGGCATGGAGGAGGCAAAAAGGGCCCTTCTCAAAACAAGCTCCACCTGACTCCTGCCACCTGGTGAAGCTGAGATTTCCCCAGAGCTTCTCTGCTTTCTTTCTAACACATTATCCAGAAATATGGCAATACAACAGCACACTCAGTATATAACTGTCTGGCTCCTTCACAAAAGCCAGTCCGAAATGTGTGAAACCCTCCCAGACATACTCTGCAGAGCTGGCTCCAGCAGTATTGGTAGTGTTAGCCCTGAAGTGATGCTTGTCCTTATCTACAACCCAAGAAGAAGTGCTGCTCTACTTTTCCATTGCACAAATTCACTGCAACAAAGTATGCTGATGCCAGAGCAGCGGAGATGAGACTCCGGCCTTGCAGAATAGAGACTGCACCTGATCTTTTTGCCCATCAGTTACTTGGGGGACGTAAAGGACTGTCAAGGCTTTTTCTCCTCACACTGTTGTATTTGGCCTCTGTGCAACAGCACCTTGTTCCTGCTCTGCAAAGCATGGACAGGCAAGAGCACGACAGGCAAAGGGAATGCCCCACCTGACAAAGCCACTCTCCTAAAACATCTCATCTCTGACCAGGGAGAGCCCTCCCGAACCTGTGCTGTGACAAGTGAAATCCAATGACAACCTTCTGCAAAGTCTACAAAACGCAACGTCCAATTTGCACAACCAGGGTAAAAAGAGAGGACAGCCTACATCAACCCTGCTCCACCTCCACAGAGGAAGACAGGCAGCTAAACTAGCAGCAGATTTGCTCCTATGAATTAAAAATAACCCCCTGGGCTCAATTCAAATAAGGAAGGACAGGAACATGCTAACATCTCCATGAGCTGTGTGTAAGCAAAACGCAAATCCAGCCCGCGCTGTGTTTGGCTCCCCTCACTATCAAAAAATGTTACTGGCACTTCAAAATAACGGCCTGGCTAATGATGGGCAACGAAGAGTGCTCCCAGCAGCCGTGCCCAATGCACCCCTCTTGCTGCAGCAAGTACCAATGGGGCCATCATTTGAAGACATTCGTTATCATTGCAGAGGAAGTGTGTGATTAACAGCCTTTCTCTGTTCAACCACTGAGAAACGCTGGTGTGCGTAAATGACTCCTAAGTAAGGAAATCCAGCCACTATGGCAATGAAGAGTCATGCCAGACCTTCAGCTGGTGGCCTGGTCTCCAGGCAGCTCATTTGCACCAGCTGAAGGTACAGGCCTACGTTTAGTGTCCTCCTGCCTGCCCCGTTGTGTTTCCCTGTGTCATAGCCAATTTGCATCTTCTATCAACTTCCTGCAGCTTGCCAAGTCGGAAACCGCTCACAGGTTGCAACGCTTCTTTGCTTCCTGCAAACTGATGCAAATGAGAGTTCTCCATGGTGTGAGAGAGTGGGCACAGAAGGAAAGGACAATGAGGAGGAAACTAAAGCTGAAATGAAGGTCTAAAATGACAGTGAGGAGAGGGGAAGGAGGAAACACCCTGGGCTAAACAGCGTGACTCTTTGTGCCTTTGTGGCACAAATAAATGGAGGGACAGCATGAAGGCCCATGCCAGGCGGCTTCTTAGTTGACCCATGCAAGATGCTGCTCAGCAATGAGGTGTGTGTGAGCACTGGAACGGGAAGTGCCTTGTGCTGCTTCTGAACCCTCTGCACCTGAGGCCTCCTGCATGGCCCACAGGACTCCTGGCGCCAGCCTCCAGCTGAGCACGGATCGGCGTAGCTGTCTTGGCACAACAGGCAGAGCAATTTCTAAAACACTGCCAGGCAAAGCCAAGCTCCTGGCACCTTAATCTGGGATGTGACAGCCCAAGGATCAGAGACGCAGAGGCAGCTGGCTGGCCAAGGGTGCAGGATTGCGCCAAAAAGCATAGGAATAAGCACAGCTCTGGGTTTGGGGATAACCTTGCCCAAAAGCAGATCCACAAAGCTTTGTCCATGCCACACTGCTGCTTCCTTAGCTGGAGTCAGGGGCTAGATCTCACAGAATAATTGAGGTTGGCAGGGATCTCTGGAAATTGTCTGGCCCAACTCTCCTGCTCAAGCAGGGTCAGCTAGAGCAGGTCACTCAAGACTGTGTCCAGTCAGGTTTCGAGTCTCTCTAAGGATGGAGATGCCACAACCTTGCTGGGCAACCCATTCCAGCGCCTGAGCATCATCACAGTAAAGAAGGTTTTTCTGATGATTAAATGCAATTTCCTGTATTTCAACTTGTGTGCTGGGCCAAAGGCTCCCTGGAGTGACTGTCTCATCGTAACCTGACGTCCAAGGACCAGGAGACTGATGCCTTTGCTGTCCGAGAAACCCCAAGGCTACCCAGATGGAAAACAGGAGATACATGTCCTGTGTGAGCATCAAATATGCTTTCTGCATGAGTGCAGCCTGCAAGAGATGAAGACCTCATCACATGATGCTTTCAGGCCCTGTACTTCTTATCCCTTTGCATCACAAAAAGTTGGTCCCTTCCTGACACCTGCTTAGGCGCAGGTCTTTATTGTGGTTCAGTGAATACACACCTATCCCAGAAGGACTATTTTCTGCTCCCCAAAACCTCACAGCCCAGAAATACACTAGCAATGGGAAGTGGGGACAAGCTATTATCTGCACTGTACAACCGAGAAACAGAGACAAGGGAGACCAGGTCAAGGTCAAAGAGGAAGCTAGACTCTGACCCTTGGTCTTTCCAATCTCTCTGCCTGCTGGGAGAAAACTAAAAACTCTTCTCTGCTGCCCCTTCCCTGTGACGAACTCTACGGAAGCGCTCAGCGTGAGCAGAAGTGGTGTGCGGGGCTCTTGAAGGACACTGGAAATAGACTCTTACCTTTCATCTGCACAAAGTCGAGTTGATGGATGGACTGCAGCAGAGGCGCGTTGTCAAGGTTTAAGTCGAAGTCCGTGGTCATCCGGGGTGTGAGCGTACCCTTCCCCCACTGGTCCTCGGTTAAGTGCACTCTCCTGATCAGAGCATCGGAGATCTGGAGGCAAGGAGCAGCCTCAGCTACCGAAGGCCACCTGGGCCGTGGGTAGCGCGCTGAGCCTTGTCCCTACCCTGCTCTCTGCCTCCCAGGGTGTGAGATCTGTCCATCGACCACTGAGGGCTGGGACACCACATGTGGTTTCTAGCAATGGCCTTCACTGGAGGCTCAGATTGGCAGAGGTTACCCCAGGAGCTATGCAGACTATTTAAAGGCAGGGTCTTGGCCCAGAGGGACCAGCCCAGGAATGAAGAATGGGATACAGTTCTCAAAGTGCTGAGTGTCTGTCTCCCACTGGAGAGCCATGAGACAGTATGTTATGATCATGCTCTAGAGATATGTGACCACCTTCTGCAAACATCTATTTCTCCAGTGAGAATGAAGAAAGGTCCCTGGCCTGTATCTGCTGTGAACCTGGAGGTGATGAGAGGCTAGGCCTTGATTTTAGGAGCGGGAGGACCCAAAATATGGGAGACCTCTGTCTTTGTCACTCATCTAGATTGTGGTAGGCAGGAAGAACATCTTCCTCTGAGCCTCTCCTGGGCCTCATCCTCTTGGCCACCTTGTCCCATCTGGCCCAAAAGCGGTGGAGCAGAAACTGTCTGGTCACATTTCGTCTCCATGGCCACACCTGGACACTTCTCTGTGATGGGGCAGTGAAAGGATAGGGAAAGGAAGCTTAAATAATACATCACCTGATATTTTTAAGTATTCATTTATTTTAAGTGCCTCATGGGAAAATAATGTGCAGTTTGAAGAGATTTTCCCATTCTACCTGGGATAGTGGCCAGAAAAGCTAGGGCACCATCCTTGGTGTAACTCCCCTGACTTTGCTGTACCACCTCAGAGCTCTTGGCTGTGCAGTGTCTTTTTGCTCCCCTCACAGCGCAAATGTGAGCAGCTACACACCAACCTGAAGGAACCCGCTGGGGTCATTCTCCTTGATCACCTCCAGGCAGTACTCCATCAAGCCTGTGGTCTGGCGGAGCTTGACCGTGCAGTGAGAAATCTGGTCTCGCACCACCTGCAATGAGACAAGAAGATGAGCATTGTTCAGAAGCTGCAGGGTTTTAAGAGCTCGAGAGCAAAGGGGCTTTGGTGCTACATTGGCACAAGGACAGGGTCAGGGAAAAGGGAAGGGAGACAAACACTCAAGGGAACAGAAAAAGCCAGAAATAGTCAAGACTCATGTACTGCATTCCAGATCCTTAAAAACCTGAAGAACAACAACAGCAAACCTTGTTTAGCTTATAATTATTAACCTACATAATTATTCAAAGCAGTAGGGTAGTTCCTTGCTCTGCCTTTAATTAAGACAGCTTCCAAATGACAGCTTATTAGCTCCACGCAAGGCAAATGCCTATTTCCATAGATACATAGCTGCTGCTGCAGCCTCTGTGGGGCTGCCTCTGAGCAGAGAGCCACTGGGCACTGCCCTACTTAGTCCTCAGCACTGAGCCAGGCTGCGGTGCTGATTCCAGGGAAGCTGTACCCAGCCGCACTGCTGAGGAGCAACCATGCCCTGTATTTTCAACAGGAATAAACACACCACCTCCCCCAGCTTTAGCTTGGAGGGTGAGACTAATGATCTGTTTGAGATGTTCATCTGCCATCGACTGAGATGAACCACACTGCAGACTGCTTCATTTTCTCCACCGACCACAGAGGCAGGGTAGAGATGAGCTCAGAGGGAGAGGTCTGCCAGCTAGAGGAGATAAATCCTGCACTGCCTCCGGCAGGGGAAGGAGGAGGAAGAATCCTGGCCAGGGAGAGAAAGTAGCTTCCCCTATGCTGGTACTTTCTGCTTACAGAGGTCCCTGGGGAGTCCATTCCTTGGCAGCAGTGTTTTTTCCCCAGTCACCTGGGCTTTCTCCATCTCATTCGACCAAAATCAACTGGAGCTGAGAGGGGACGCTGCTGTTATTGGTCACAGGGCACTATGCTTCTCTAGACGAGTGAAAAGAACGGTCCAGGTGAATTGCTCAGCAAAGAGCCATGGGGAACACGATGTCCTGGCTCTCCTGCAGCCTCTGAGCCTCTCCGAGCAGTCTCTGAGCGCAGCTTGTGGCTGTCCAGGCTGCAGGGTGAAGCATCTTTTCTTGCACCCATGATTGGTTCCTCTAAGGGAATGGGTTTCAGCATCCTAGCCGCAGAGTACAACCGAGTGTGCCGTTTGCTCAGCTGAGCACCTAGGACGGGACAAGCATCACTGCCTGTGGCTCCGATGACCTTTCCTGAAACGCAGCTAGGAAGACGGGGTTCATACTCCAGGATGAGGAGGGTGTTTGAAGGCTGGCTGTCCCTTCAGAGTGACGGTAAGGTGTTCAATCCTGCCTGGCCCTTCTGAGCAAAACCCTCCCTGTCGCTGGGCACTGCCAGTTCATTACGCGCTTGCCGAATCCCCTGCAGAAGCAGACAGAGTGCAGATCTGCAGCTGACGTCAGTGGGATTTCTGTCAGCAGAACAGGCAACCGGGACCTGGCTCTGGATAGGAGGTTGGCAGAGCAGCTCAAGACGAGAGATTTTATGCTTTAGATCAATGTGCCCAAGGTAGATAAGAAATGTTTTTTCTGAAAAAGCTTCAAAGCTGTGTAAAGTTCTCCACTAGGACTGAATAAAGCTACCCAGGTCTCGGGATCACAGCTATTTAGTATGTTGCACAGACAAGAAAGACGAGCTTCCCAGCAGCATCTGCAGCTGCAGTATGATGGAAAAGGCTGTAAAGAGCAGCGCCAAATATTCCTGAAAGCAGCCGCGCATTCAGTACTGCAGTTGGTGAGTCCCAGTGTTGATTCAGCAGACGCAGCAGTACGAAAATAACCACCTTCGGGTGAGAGCCTCCTTCGGTGACAGGTGGAAGGTGCTGACTGCCCGGGCAACCCTCTTGGCAGAGGGGCCAGGAGGGGAAACGAAGCGGACGCCAATCTCCCGCAGCGAAAGAAACTGGGCTTCGATGGGGCACAACGACTCCTGCAGGGCAATCAATCAGATCTCGTGTTGCTTAATGATATTTTAACCACCTCTATGTAATCACCTAGCAGGCACAGAAGGATCACGTGTGCTGCGACTTGGGACAATCCCCCCACTTCTGCAGAACGCCAAGAAACGCTCTCCTAGCCATCTCCTGATCTGCAGGCATTTGCAGTTTGCACATTCAACCCCTTGCTGCTTTTAGTGATCTCGGTCTGATTTTGTTTCCAGCCTGCTGGGAAACAGAGGCCAGAGCAAGGCTGGGAGCGTGAGGAGGCGAATGCAGCAGGAGTGTGCAGCAGCGTGTGAGGCTGGCAGGCAGCAGGGGGAGCTCCCATATTGCTCCTCCAGACCAAGCAGCATATGTGGTGGCATGCAGAGATGATGCATCACTCTGAGACAGGGCTAGAGCACGAGCATCACAGGCACGCATCAGTTTTGGCCTCAAACGCTGTCATGAGAGAGACGAGTTCATTCAATGCCAGTTTCAAACACTTGAGTGCACTGGAATGGCTCTGCTGGGATGGAGCAGAGGCATGTGGCTAGTCCTGGAGATCTCGGCACCTACACTCCCTCTTTGGCACTGTTGCTGACCCCTTCCATGAGCGTGGGCAAGTCCCTGGAGTTCCTTTCACAGTGGGGATACTCAGTCCTTTGGGGCAGCATCCGTAGGCAGCGCGTAGTCTGCAGCTGAGAGACCCAGCATCCACACCGCATCCACTAAGTGCAAGGTGAGCCCAACCTGCTGCCGGCATTGCTTTTAGACTATATCCTGATGGCACCTACCCGGTCAGAGCGAAGTCACTTGAATGGCATTGCACTCCCACATCTCCTGGGCTGCAAATGGGCAATGGGAATCACACTCTGAATGTACAGAAAAACAGCTACCCCCTTTCATGTGAGTGCTTTCCGGGGAAATGCACATGCCGCCAGGAAGACAGCAAAGACGGGATTGGTAAAACAATCTTCTTACCTTCTTTGCAGCTTAAATCTCAGTCTGATTTGCCCAGGATATTGAATTTGTGGACCTCTCCCTGACAGAGTAGATGCGTTGAAGTATTACCAGCAAAACTGCCATCTGCTATCACCAGCCAGACACACAGACATTCAAGAAACAGCACTTGCTTGGCGAGGACCAGCACGGCGACCCAGGACAGCTCTGGGGCATGCAGCTCGCTCCTCGGCATCGGCAACCTCCTTGGGGTGAGGGATATCCTTGCACGCAAGGCAAGGGGAGCTGCCACCGCAGCTCGGGCACCAGTGTGAGAGCTGTGGGACCTCCTCATGCTGTCTGCAAGGAGGGAGCTGGGACACTGGGGCAGGCAGCCCTGGTTTGCTCCTCCACCCTGCCCTTGCTTCCAGGCAGCAGGGTGAGTGAGGCCAGAGCCAGTTGGCTGCTCTCACGTGAGGGACTGCAAAAAGCCCGATTAATGACTGAACTTCCTGGTAAATAATCCCTGTTAATAAAGGCTGGGTCTGAAGTGCTGGTTACAGGCTGCTTTGTTGCTGCCAGAAGGAGCAGGGTGGGCTGTGCTGGCGGGGGAGGGGCCCTTCCTCTGCTCCCTGCTCAGCCCCGAGCCTCTGTCCTCCCTGGCCACACTGTGCCTCTGCCCAGACCGGGTTCCTCCGCCTGACTCCTCAGCCCCAGCTGAGGCAGTAATCCACGCTAAGAGCGACAGAGACAGACTGAACGTTAAGGCAAGTCTAGGACGGCAACTGTGGCTTGTCTAGTCTTGCTCACGGCAGTGTGGAGGCTCGAACATTTTGGGACAAGGACAACACACTGGGATCAATCCATCCCTGCTCCTCCAGAGCTGCCCAGGTCTGGGTGGGGGAGTCATTAGCCTTCCCACGGGGCTGGAGGTGGTGGATGTCTTGTCTCCTGTATGTTGCATGTGTGGTGCAACGGGTCCCTATCCTGATAGGATTTGGGTTGTCCGTCCAGGAAAGCTCACAAGTGCTGGTGGTCAAAGGTGTCACATTTAGGGACAGGCTAAGCAGAAATGTCACCCTTCCAAACAGGCAGGGGAGTGTCAGGGTGAGGGGAGCCCTGCTGCCCTGTCACAGACGCAGGACGAGGAGCGAGAAGGCAAAGCAGACGAAGGGGCTTCCATCTCCGGCTCAGGGCAACAAGGGTCTTTGACATGGTCATCCCCCACCTCAATGAAGGCCTAAGTCTTCAGGGCCAGCTAGCTGGCAGGAGGAAGGTCCCTGTCCACCCTGGGGTGGCACCACAGTGAACAGCCTGGAGGAAGCCCTCCAAGGTCCCGGCGTGGCTGAACAGACTGAGCCAGCTCTGCTGTCCTGGACCACCTTACACTTCTGTCCTCTGCAAACTGGCACACTCACAACCCAGAAACCAGGCTCTGAAATAGCTCTTGAGAAGGAGAGATCACTGACAAGCTGTTAATTTGGGACAGAAAAGTGTGGACTTGCTATTAATTACTGCTCTCTGGGACACAACCAGTGAGGCCATGCAAATCTTTAGGCACATAAAGACGGGACTCATGGGCTGTACAGACCCTCTTCCAGCTCCAGCAAATTATGGGAGCTTAATGGGATGCTTGGAGGCTTTGCTGGATGTCTGCTTGATCTTGCTCTTCATCCTCCTACTCCGTTTACACAGCTGGCTGGTTTGAAGCTACGTCCTCATGCCGTGGGTGGCAGAACACAGCCAGGCAGATGGCGTAGCACTCGGCAGCTAGCTCTCCCTACACTGTGCATCGCATCTGTCCTAGCAGCTTGAGAGCATTCTGCCTACCGGGGCTGGAAGGCAGCCTTTGCCTCTTGGCTTAGAGCTTGCGCTGTTCTCCAACCTGCCCGGCACCACGATGGGCAGCAGCTCAGAAACTGCATCCAACGGAGCGCCTGTGGTTCTTCTGTCACAGCCCAAACCTTTAGCTCCAGTGAGCCTTCCTTTCTGGAACTCATTCTGGGATCGAGAACCTATTCATCTGAAGAACTAGAGCATGAAGCGGCAGTTTAACTGCAGCATATACACAGCAGGCAAGCTGGCAATGGAAATCCACATTTCCCCTCGCTACCAACAAACTT